TCTGCAGGAAAAGCATAGAGAAGATCCCCTTCTGGTTTGGAAACCTGTACAGAGTTTGATATAGATTTTTTAGGTAGCAAGGGCTCTGTCCTTGGTATTTCTCATAGATCATATGTCACGTTCCATTCTCTTAGTAGCCCCCATTGATTCCCTTCATACGTCCACTGGATGCATAGGCTTGCTTATAAAATAAAGGCCCAATATGTATGATAATTTGACCATAAACAATTACTCTTGCTTTCTCTCAGAAATGGTCCATACTTTTTCTTAGTGTACTTTATAAAGGGAAAGAGGTCTCTCAGTTCTAGCAACAGCTTCGAATGTCTTTTTCAGGAGTCTCTGAGAATGAGTGACTTGATCACTGGTGCATAGTCTCAGGTTGAACCAACAAAACAGTCGTCATAGAGGTCGTCCCAATGATAAACCTAAAGGCAAAGATGAGGACCTATAGTGTCAGTCACCCTAGGACCTAGAAGCCACCATATTGAGAGTAAATGTTTGAACAAATCAGAAAACGGGAAGAAATGGAATGAAGTAAGAAATGAAGCCAGAGGACACATAAAGCTAGGAGAGGCAAAGACACCCAATTGGGATCCTACTGGTGCTCTAGGAAGCTTGGCCAAATGTCCTTTCCTAGCAGGATTCACAAGGTTTTAAAGAGCTGATACAGGCACTCTAAGAATCCTTGTGTGTTCCAGTGTAAATGGCACTTTTCCTGGCCCAGAGGAAGCCCATGTTGAAATAAGCCAAACAATTAAGTGCTTTGGCCATCCCAGCTGGTCAACAACTCTCCTGTACTTATTATTCAATATTTCCCTGGTATAGAATCCCTGTCATCAGGAAAATACTGGTATGATGAATTGCTGTATCTAATATGGTCATCCTACTATCCTGAAGTCATTCACAAATTGGAATTTTGAAGATACTTGGTCTTCATATATCTTTTATAGGAACTGAATCATAGAAAAGTTGGTGCTAGTATTAAAATCTAACGTGTTCAGCCTCAGGAAAATGTATGAATAATGTTCTCTAAGAATTCTTTCCTATCACACATAGCACCAAAGGATACTAGTTGGGTTCTTTGATTAATCCCCTTGGCCTAGAACAGGCATTGTAGATTAAAGAGGAAGATTTACTCTTTGCATTATCTCATGCAATTTTCCTGAATTGTGATGTGTTCACAACTACATGTGCAATTTGTCTATTTTACTAAGTAGGTCTATATTCCTAGGTCCTATCTAGCAATCATAGGGGTGATTGCTTCAAGGAATATCTATGTAATCCTCCAGGACAGGGTTGTTTACATGATTCTATGGGTATGAAGTTTTTCCTAAGGATGACTTGACTCTATTGTTCCAGTCAGGGACAAAGAACTAACAAACTGTAGGGCAGTGATTCTCTAACAGTTTCTCATGTTTTGGTGACCCACAACCATGAAACTATTTTCATTGCTACTTCATAATTTTGCTACTGTTATAAATGATAATGGGAATATATGTGTAGGGTTTTTGGTGATCTTAGGTGAACCCTGTGAAATGATCACGTGACACACAGTACAAGCACAGCTTGCTATTAAGTGTTAAGAAACAGCATGAGATAGTAGATAATCTTTTCTTTTAAAATTTGTCACTTGTAATTGGGAAAAAGGATGCTCCATTTTAAACAATAGTTTCATTGCTTAATTAAACAAAAGAAAATATTCAAACCAACTCACAAAGATTCCTGGAGATTCTGCTGCTTAGGAATTGAGGGAAGCTATACCACTTCCACCTTTACTTTCTCCCCTTGCCCCATGTTAGAATAGACCTTTCTCCTATAATCAGGTCTCTGATCTCTGAGTCTTATGTTTTTCTTCCCAGAAATGTCCGAAAGCCACTTATATTTAAGCTAAATGTTCCATCAACAGCAAGGGCCAATGAGGAGATCTCTGTGGAACTTCATCTTCAAACACAATATAGAGAATGTTTTGTGGTAAGTAGATAGATGGACAGTAAATCCAAGGCAAAATCTGACTTGAGTTATGAATATAATTGAACTAATACTGCATGATAAGCTTAACCTATTCAATGTTGAGAACTTGGAGCAGATGATAATTTGCATTGCACAGAGAAGAAACACTGGTACACAAGAGTCTAGGAAGAAAAAGTGTGAGAAAGAGAATGAAAACCATCTGAGATAGAAATAGGTAGAAGAAGACAAAGAGTTCATGGAGAACTGATCATGCTTCTTCTAGAGTCCTCCTGAGCACTAGTGGATTTTGATGTGGGTTTGGGAACAGGGTTCCAATATGAACATCTTGCAACCATAGTTTGGAGCAGGGGTGAGAAGAGAATATGAGGGATCTGTTTCTTCTTCTTGTTCTTGTTGCTGTTGTTGTTGTTGTTCTTCTTCTTCTTCTTTTCTTCTTCCTCTTCTTCATTAAGACGCTAAACAGAGCGTCTTTTCCTCTTGCTCTTCCAAACAATAATTATTCAGTATAAAGTTGCTAGACATGGGAGCAAACGTTAGAAATGTATATGTGGCATGTGTTCTTGGCCCTAATCGTACCACCACCCTCATACTGACCATATATTCAAGGTAAAGATGAGTGCAGGTAACATTTCAAGACAACTGAATCTGAAACTTGACATGAAATACTTTCATGCAGTTTGTAGTAAAAATTATATATACTCCTGATTTATTGCATTGCATTGATGACTGTAATTATAGATGAAAGGTTGAATCTCATTTAAATGCATTATTTTCTCACTGTTTTTTTGTAATCACTGAATTTAACTCACAAGTCCATCTGGGTAGATATATCACTAGGATAAAACTCTTAAGTTAGATGTCAGAAACAGGAGTGTATGTGTGTGTATTACATATATAATATATTACATAATTATGTAATAATATAATATATATTAATATACACATTAATATGTGATGTCTTAAGTTAACAGGCACTCTCAGGTTTAAAAAGGAAAAAAATTGGCCTTCAAAAAATTTACTTATCAAATAATGGCCACACATGGGCAGAGGGAGTAATTTTTAATCTTGCAGTTGGAATTGGTGAGAGTGAGAGAATCATTCAATTCGGCCAGGGCAATTCAGTTGTGGCAGAATAATTCAATTGTGACAGATTTGGCCGAGGCAAGGGCCTGGCCATCATTCTCACGAAGCCTTGTCCTGGCATCAACACTTAAACAACTGGACTGCTATTCACTGTGTCACATGGTAAATGTTCATATGAGTCATTTCCAAGAACTCTAGCTGGTACCAAGGGCCAGCCTTCCTCAGGAGATAGACACAGTAGGATGAACCTCTTTGCCTAGTCGATTCACTTGCATTTTCCTGAGTCTCTCACTCAGACTTCTGGGCTAAGTATGATAGAGTGAAGAGAGAAAGTCTGGGAAAATTAGCCCATAGAATACAATAATGAATAGACCATGTCTGTTTTCCTAGTTTGTGTCTCAGCTCTTTCCTCTCTTGTATTGCCTTCTATTTATCTTCTTTGTACTAACAGTGAGCTTTCTCTCCCAACTAGGTACAAGGTTACCTTGTAAGTAGTGTACAAATTGGAGGTGGCTTCGACTATCTACAAACCCGCTGCGTCTGTATTGACTCTCCTATCACCTTTTACTGGGATTTTGAAGTTCCAAGTAAGTAAAAAGAACTACTTGCCAAAGAGGGAAAATTAAAAACATAAACACAGCTGCAAAATTTCCAGTTGAAAGCATGGAAAAGCAAAATGATAGGTGGAAAGGTAGCCCATGAAGAGCATTCCTGGGATCTAAAGCTATAGAAAGCATAGCATGAGAAAGGATGGATCAAAAGGAGTGACTTGCAAATGATTCGGGGAAACTCTATCTTAGGAAGGACTTATCTGGTCCTATCAGGAAAGTGAGAGAACCCTAGAGTGTCTGAGAGATGACTTTTGTTTTTATTTCTTTCAGAAACTGTAATGTTTACAATAGTCGTTGACATTATTAAGAAGAAAGGTATCTGCCCTAATGATGTGGCAGTGGTGCCCATCACAGGAGATCGGTACTACACTGAACATACTGTGTACGTGATTTAACAAAGGCTTCTTATGTGTTTTTCAAAACCATTATCATTTTCTTCAAGTAAAATTGACTGGAATACCTATTGTAGTCTGTTAAATAAACTTCTTATAAGCGTCTCCATGTGTTATCCTGTCCTGTCTAAAATCTATCTTCAAAATCAGGAAAGTACCCCAAATTTCTTACAATTGCTGAGATTGTATTGTTTTTTCTATTCACTGACACAAAAAGGAAGGAAGGGTGGGGAGATACCTTAGTGTGTATACTACTTACCATGCAGGATTGAGGACTTAGATTCGAATCCTCAGAACCCACATAAAGCCAGAAATAGTGGCACACATTAATAACCCCAATGCTTCTACAGTGAGACAGGAGGCAGGCATACAAATCTCTTCAGAAGCTATTGGGTAAGCTCACTTTGTGTATGCCATGAGGAACAATTGTAGATGCTCTCTTTAAGTGAGAAGAAGGGAAGGGCCAATGCACGAAACTGTCCTGATCTTCTTGAGTGTGCTGTGGTACAGGAACACTAACACTCTTCCATGCACATAAATCATACAAACACACACAAACACTTTTAAAGAAAAGAAGAAGGAATAACAAAAAGATACCCACTCTCTAAGAGTGGAAAGGTCACTCCTGTGATAGTCCAAATACTCAGGACAAATAAGAGGGAGCCAGGGCTGGAAGCCAAGCTGCCTATTGTTTGACTGTTCTCTAGCCCATGCTCTCTAAGAGCTCTACCTTGAGTTCTCAGAGGACAGGAGTGATTTGTTACCAAGAAGGAACAGTCTGTAGTGCTCACCATGAATTGTTGCATTGTGTTACATTCTGTTGGTTCTTCTCAATCAGTTCCAAACAAGAAAGTATGACTCACTGGAGGAATGTACACCTCAGGCATAGCAGTTCTGGCTGACTATAAACGAAGGCTACGAGCCCTGAGTTGCTTTCTCAGACGGGACCAGCTACTTCTTTTTTGATAGAAGTGACGAATTAACAAGGGTCCAAAGTAGATGAGTGAAATTCTGGCAAATGGAAAAGTAGACCTCAAGAACCCAAAGCCAGAAAGGTAGAATGTACTTGTCAGGTAAGCTTTCTGGTACTGGGTATGGATAACTGAAAGAATTCTAGAGGATGCTGTAAGAATAATCAGAATCACAACAGACTGAGTATATATGGTAAGAAAATGGAATAAAACCTTTCACACCATTGGTCGTATATGAGGATCAGCATTCAGGAGAGGGAAAGAAGGTTGTTCAAAAACATTATTTCAGATGTTATTGGGACATTAGCATCAATTGCCTGTGTAAAATATGGTAGCTAAAATTCATACTTCCTTCTGAATGTATTGTTTCTTGGAGTGATTTACATCTCTTTGAGGGGCAAAGTCCTGTTTCCTTCAAAAACACCCTTGAGGATACTTTTTCCTCTTATCCTCCTCTTTAATGCCTGTATCAGAAATTGTCCATTTATACCCCTCTCTTTATCCTAGGGTATTTTTACTGGGGGTAGGTTCCTTTCTGAAGAAATTTAATATTTCCAAGACCAAGGTTGTCAGCTAGTTTTGTTTTGTGTCTAAAATTATTTTCCTGGGTCATCGGTTTAATTTTTTATCTGCTTTAAAAAATTCAGAAAGTCACATGTAACAGGTAATTTGGATTTCTTTGTGTCTTCTGTTTATGCATTTGTAACCTTTTCTTAAAGTCTGTGGTAGACTAGCTGAGAAGATAACCATCTTTCATATTTGACATTAAGACAAATTTGTAGTCTTTAATTATAGTAAGTACAATCATATACATTTGCTTTATCATATATATATGTATATATATGTGTGTGTATATATATGTATATATATATACACACACATATATCCACATATATATCCACATATGCATATAAACACAAACACACACAGACACACACATGCTTACTTGGGCTTTCTGGTCTGGCCTTAATTCATTTCTGATGTGTTTTTAAAAAGATAAAGAGAATATGTTCTATGGGTTTGTATAGTGAGGTGTGGGGGAAGGGAAGGGGATGTCTCAGCGGGGCCCATGCTGAGGCATCCCTTCCCCCTTGAGTGACCAGGCACACACCAGTATATTATAGATAGAGTTTATTCAGGGCATGGGGAGGGAAGTTAACAGGGCAGTAGAGGCAAAGAGAAGAGAAGAGAAGAGAAGAGAAGAGAAGAGAAGAGGAGAGGAGAGGAGAGGAGAGGAGAGGAGAGGAGAGGAGAGGAG